GGGCGGCCGCCTCCGCGATGCCGCTGCTCGTCAAGGGGCGGCGAGTGCGGCTGCCGCAGTCCGCCGGGGACCTGGTGCGAGCCCACCCGCCTCTGGAGGTGAGCGGGGCCCGGGCTGGGGTGGGGGGAGGGAGCTTCGAGGCGGGCCCGAGGGGCCCTGCCGGGCGGGCCCGAGGGGCCCTGCCGGGCGGGCCCGACCCTCCTAGCCCCACCGCCTCCAGCCGCGCTCCCGGAGGCAGAGTTTAAACTTGGCGCAGCGGAGCGACTGGCGGCACGTCGGGAGCCCCGGCCGCCGGCAGCGAGTCTCTGCCTTGGCTCGAGGCGTCTGTTGTGGGGCTTTCCCCTCCCTGGGACCTTCGAGGGCATTCTGCCGAGGCCTCTCTTTGCCGGAGGAGGGGCGGGCGGCCCAGAGAGGTTAGGCGACTTGCCCAAGGTCGCACAGCACCGCGGCCGGAGGGCGCCCGGGGACTTCGCGACCCCCAGCCGGGCTTGGTCCGTTGAGGCCACCCTGGGCAGCGCCCCTGCGCGCTGGCACTCGCCGGGGTCCGCGCCCCGCGGGGAGCCGCTCCTCCCGGCGGGCCTCCGGCCAGGGGCACCCGGCCGCTCCCCCGGGCTTCCCCCCCCCCCCCCCCCCCCCCCCCACCCCGGGGATTAGGGCCCCCGGGTATTTTTAGCCAGAAGGAAGGGCCCTGCTTTTCCCCCCAGCTGAGCCGTGTTGAGGACCACGCCCTGATGCAAGGGTTAGGTTTTGTTCCGTCTTCTGCTTTTGTCCTCAAGTAGATCTCTGAACCCGTGGTCCATGCTTATGCAGAGACAGTTTGGAAAGGGGTTCTTAACGTAAAAAAGAAATGGGTCCAAACCTCTCACGTGCCCCAGATCTGGTTAAGGGGGAATCCGTCAGTTCGTTGACTGCAGATACGTACTGAGCCTCCGATGTCTGTCGAGCACCGTGTTCGCCTGTTCCCTACAAGCAGGGCGGGCTGCTTTACAGCCTGGTTAGAGGGGATGGTGTTTGATCACAGAACAGCTCAAACACCGTGCACTGTTAAGTGCCATCCAGGAAGAATGCCCGTTTGCACTGTGAGATGCGAAGCAGACGAGCTTGACCTAGCCTCGAGGCTCACCAAAGGTCGTCTTGGGGTTTCCTGTTAACCGTTGCACACTTTGGAATTATTTTGTCTGCATACGTGTTGTGTTGATTCTCCCTCGATCTGACCCCCAGAACATGAGCTTCCCGAACAGACTGTGTGTTATTGCTCTGTGTCCTCCGCGCCTAGGGCAGTCTCTGGCTATGAATCTGCACTTTGTAAATATTTGTTATATCCATGAATGAGCAGAAGGACCCCTGAGAATGACCTGAAGGATGAGGAGTTACAGGGAAAAGGGGGCAACTCTGTGCTTCTCAGCCTGCAGTTCAAGAAAACAGTCGACCTTCCGGGTACTTAGCAGACACCAGGCCCTGTGCTAAGCGCTTTCCTTGGGCTGCATCGCTGTCGCCTCGTTAACTGATGAAGTTGGAGTAGGACTCTCCAAGGGGAAAATATTTCAGCTGCCTAAAGAATTTAGTTGACACTTTTTTTTTTTTTTTGAAGATTTTATTTATTTGAAAGAGAGAGACACAGCGAGAGAGGGAACACAAGCGGGGGGAGTGGGAGAGGGAGAAGCAGGCTCCCGGCTGAGCAGGGAGCCCGATGTGGGGCTCGATCCCAGGATCCCGGGATCATGACCTGAGCCGAAGGCGGACGCTTAACGACTGAGCCACCCAGGCGCCCCAGTTGACACTGTTTTTATGTCTCTCTCCCTGAGAATTTCTGTGATAAAAAGTTAGAAAGAGGAGTGTCCGAAGCAGCACACTCAGTGGGGAGTCGGGAGGGCTGTGATAGGCCGGGGTGGCCGGTCGTCTCGAAGGCCAGCTGCCTGGTGGGGGCCAGTGTGCATTACAGGAAACTGGGGGTGCTCACTGCCTTTGCAGTGGTCTTAGGGAAGAAGGATGGATGCAGGGGAGAGATGGGAACAGGGGGAGGAGGGGGAGGGCAGTCTAGCTGAGCTCCGTGGGCAAGGAGGGGAAGCACCCGGAGGGCCGGTGGACGGGCCGGGTTCCCGGGCGCAGAGGGGGTGAAGGGAGAGAGTGGGAGATAGAGACCCAGGGAGGTGGGTTGCCCCGGGGTTAGAGGGGTTTCGGTGGATCTCTGACGGAATAAGCAGTGGGGTGAAATGAAAGCTCTTATTAGTTTTTCTAGAACTAGTCGTGTGTCCCTTTTTTAAGAGCTAACACATAGACGTCAAAAAGGACACCACAACCACTGTTGTGGTGTAGAGGGTTTTCTTTCCATCCGAATGATGAACTTCCAAAAGTGAGCGCAAACTCCACATTCTGTCCGCTGATGTGTCTTTTTCACGGGACGATCTGGCCTGTGCGGCGGCAGCAGTTACAAACCCATCCCTAGCCAGGCCTGGCACCGAGCAGGAGTGGCACCCTTTACGGGGACGCCGGGGGCGTGAGTTGCCCGGAGCCCCACATCGCGGGATGGTGAAGCCCGCGTGGGGACCCTGGTGGCGCTGCTCAGTCTGGACCCCCTTTCCCCCCACTAAATGGGGCCCCTTATATGTCATCACCACGAAAGAAAACGGAAAACCCAGTTCCTCAGTCATACTAGCCACGTTTCTGGTGCTCCACAGCCACGCGTGGCTAGTGGCTACTCTGAGACAGGGCGGGTCTAGATCCGTGGTCAGCACCGCGGAGCATTCATTCCTCTGGGCGGTGCTCTCGTCTTCAAGTTTTTGCTCTTAGCGAGTCGCCCACAGGTGCTCAGTAACCAGTCCCCCAGCATCGTGCTAAGTGTGGTTCCATAGAATTCCACGACATGAATGCCCCGTAACTTTGTTCCTGCCTCTCAGCATGCAGGGTATTTCTAAATCTTCGGCGTTTTATGAACATTCACAGAGCTAAGTCTTAATAAATCCCCCTAATTATTCCCACAAGTGAAATTGCTGGACTCAAAGGGTTTCCGAGCAGGAAAGGGATGGAACAGAATCAGCGTTTGGAAGCAGTGACGCCGGCAGCCATCGGGGAGGGTTGTGTGGGTGGCGAGGGGGACCTAGGGGTCAGGGAAACAGGTGGGCATGGGGACAGCCACCCAGTTAATCCTCACACAGGCTAAGGAGCAGACAGCGTCATCCCTTTTTGCCCCAGGGGAAGGAGAACTTGCAGGAAGAACTGACAGACTGTGGCAGCAGGGGAGAGGGACACGTGGTCATACTAAGTGACTGGCTAAGACAGGGGTCAGCACACTCCAGCCCCGGGCCAGATGGTGACTGTGGACAGCCCGTGAGCCACGAATGGTTTTTACATTTTTAAATGGTGGGGGGGGGGGGGGAGGAAATCCAAAGAGGAGTATTTCGTGACATATGAAATTATATGAAATGAATTCAGATGGCGGTGTCGCCCATAAATGAAGTCTTCTGGGGACAGCGCCCATGCGCTTGTTTACGTGTTGTCTCTGCTCTCAGGCTACACAGCAGAGCCTAGTGGTTGCAAGAGGAGACCGCACCCCAGCAGAGCCCAAAATAGTTACTGTCTGGCCCTTTTCAGAGAAAAGTTTGCTGAGCCCTGGCTTAAGTGAGGGGCGCTCAGGAAGAGGAATTGGGAAACGAGAGCCTGCCCAAGAGGGGATTCCTGGGGGACTCTGCGTGTCCAGAGACTAGCAGATGTTGAGAAGACGGGGCTCCTTTATTTCAGGAAGGGGTGGGAGCTCATGAAGTAGCTCTCCGTGTTTTTGCACAGCGGAGAAGTTTGGCTAAACTTTTTTTTCATTTCTTAATGTGGGAAACCCAAACAACATGTTCTTGTCGCTTTGCGGCATCCTCTCTTATGATTTATGCTCCTGTCTGTCTGGGAAATCGGAGCCGGGTTGGGGGGGCGGGCTGCTGGGACGTCGTGATTTCTGGTCTCGGGTACGCAAGTGGTAGTTCGTGCTCGCACACACGGCTTTGCTTTTGGGTGGTGGCCCCGCGTGAAAGTGGGTGGTCACAAGTTGCCTTCGCCCTCCTTCCCCCGCCCCCGAAAGACTAAAGCAGAAGGTATGTGCTCAAGGGGGAACGCGAGGCAAAGCTGCCTTCTCCCGTCTCCGGCCTGACACCGCAGTTCCTGGGCTCCTTCTGGCTCGTTCTGTGGAGGAGGCACTGTCTTGCTCATTGCCGCCTCGCTTCCAGTTAATGAAGGTTTATGAAAAGAAAACAGGTGTAACTAGTCAAGCTGGTCATGGTTAGTTGGTTTATTTTTACATCTTGTGTTTTACGAAGTTAGCAAGCACCAACCCGCATGAGCCCCAGGCAGGAGGCAAGCCTGTAAGACCAGAAAGCTCTCTGCTCCAGGCCCGACACTGCGCACTGGGACGGGAATTTGTTCTCTCAGGAGCTTGCTTGTTTCAAGTGAGAAGGAAGTAGGGATACAGCGCTTGTATCCTGTGATGATATAAATCGTTGTATCTGTTTGACATCTTCGAAAAAAGTTTGTTTTCATTAAAGAATTTAATCATCTGAGGGTTTATTATTATTATTATTATTTTGAATTTTTTTTAGGCTACTGCCTAAAAATTTTTTTTTAAGATTTTGTTTATTTATTTGACAGACACAGCGAGAGAGGGAACACAAGCAGGGGGAGTGGGAGAGGGAGAAGCAGGCTTCCCGCCGATCAGGGAGCCCGATGCGGGGCTCGATCCCAGGAC